AGAGAGAGAGAGAGAGAGAGAGAGAGAGAGAGAGAGAGAGAGGCACCCGTAGAGCACCGACCGGCGATCACACGCGCACGGACCACGGAGCACACAGGCGCACGTCGAGAAAGAGAGACAAAGTTCTCAACGTAGTGCCGGGCGATTGGAGAAGTGGCCGTGGGCGGCAACAACATTGCCCGCGGGCGATTGGAGCGGCGGACTGGCAACGGAAAAACGGGCGTGGCAAGTGTAGTATCTGTTCTGATCAGGAAAAAAAAACAAAAAAAAAACGGGCGCGCGGGCGATTCGGTACCGAGCTTGAAGGAGTGGGGATTCGAGGGGTGGGCTCGCGCCGGGCCGCGATCTGGGCGGTCCGCAAAGCGTTACCGGCGACGGCCCAGATCGCAGGCCGATCAGAAAACTTTCTGATCGCAGGCCGATCTGGGCCGTCGCCTGTAACGGTACCGGCCTGCGATTCAGGCCGTACGATAAGAAATAGCGATTCTTGTAGTATTGTAGATAAAGATAAAAAGAAGAAAAACAGAAAAATCTCGAAGTTGGGGGGGAGGGGGATGAAAAAGTGAAGGAGAAAAGAGAGAAATAGGTGAGAGAGAGAAAAGATGGGGTTGTAGTTAGGGGAGAGAAGGGGGTAGAGGAGGGTGAGAGAATGGGAGAGATAGGGATGGGAAAGGTGAGGAGGGGTAGAAGAGATTAGTAGAAGATGGTTAGTGGAGAGGGGAGGAGAGAAAAAGGGTTGTGAAAGATGAGTGAAGAGGGAGGTAGGAGGAGGGAGTGGGGGTAGGGTGTATGAATAATGATGGGGGGGGGGAGAAAGAAGGGTTTGGGGGAGAGTAGGTTAGCGGGTAGGATGGTGATACCAAGCTCTTGGATGGCCAAGAGCGGAGCACTACAAGATGCTGCTGGCCTGCTGCCACAGCAATAGAAGACAATGATGATCATGTTTCAGGGTTGGCTGAGATCTTGGTCAGCCACCCTACTGCCACAGTTGCACAACCCCCTAGCCAGGGGGGAATCTTGAACTGCTGCCAAACGGCTGCTGCAGCAGTGAAAAGATAGTGAAGAAAAAATATATACATGTATGTGGCGCAACCCCCTAGCCAGGGGGGTCTTCAACCTCCACGGCAAGCTGCCACGTGGCACTGCAGATGGCCACGTGCTGCTGTCGTGCTGGCCGGTGCTCGCTGCGAGGGGGGGGAGTAGTAAATAGCTGCCACAACATTTCTTCAATACCAGCATGCCGCATTACTAAGCCATAAACACATTGTGGCCAGTGTGTTACAGTGGTGGCTACGCATGTGCATGGCCAGCAGCTACCCAGGTTCAAACCCTAGCAGCTGAATCCGGGAGCACGTAGCAGGTGGTGTGTGTGTGTGCGGCCTTGCCTCTATCTCTCTTTTCTCGCCACGTGTCGCTCCTTCGCTGCTGCACATTGTGTCACCTTTTTCCTGCTGTTTTTCGCTGCCGATGGCCGAAAACCAGCCAAAAAACCCAGTGTCGGGTTTTACGGTTTTCCCTGCTATGGGGTGTGGTGGGTGGGAACGGGGAACGTTCCCACTCTGATACCAGTGTGGCGGACCCACCAGGTGTGGTGGTCCGCCTGGGATGGAGATGGAGATGGAGGATGAAAGTGGAGCAAGATGGCACAGCGCAGCTCCCATGCGAGACTCCAACGCACGTACTCCAAAGTGTGCGAATGTAAAATGACCCAAAATACAGACTCTAGCTGGGGTATACCCCAGTGGACTGACTGGACTGGACTGCACTGGCTGGTACCGACAGAGGTACCGGCCTGGACTGGACTGCCCCGAATACAACACAGGCCTGTGAGAACAGGCCAAGGGGCTGGTCTCACAGGCCAACCAGAGGTCCGCTACATCCCACTGCTCCTCCTGCTCTTCCCCCCTTCCTCCTCCCGCTCGCCCTGCGGGCCGCACCCTCACCCGCCGGCAGTTTGCGCAGGGTAGTCTTGGCCGCTCGATTCTCGATGCCGGCCCTCTGCCCGCTAGTGTCCCGCTCGCCCAGCCGCATGAACCGGTGCGCCCTCCTCTGTCCCCTGCGGCACCACACCCCAGCATACCACCACCACCGTCGTGGCAAATACGGCCCCCCCCCCGCGATTTTCCCTCACGAACCGGCACCACCCGTCCCACAGT